AGGGAGATAAAGAGCGAAAGAACAGGAGAGAGATCGAGATCTTCGCATCCTTGTGTAATATCGCTCTCTCTTCGCGCAGAATACGACCTGTCGAAGGCAATCTCTGCGCTGGTGCCCCCTAGCGGCCCGGTCCTGTGTCGGGACGAGATGGAGGAGTGGTCGGCGGCCGAGGCAAACCTATTCGAAGAAGCCATCGAGAAATACGGCAAGGACTTTAGCGACATCCGCCAGGACTTCCTGCCCTGGAAATCCCTGAAGAACATCATAGAGTGAGTGTTGTGAGGTCGGGAAGAGGTCGCCAGCGTTGTTTCTCTAGCAAGAATGCCCTGCAGAAGTTTCTTTCTGGAGAGTACGTTGTCTCTGTCTCTCAGCGAGAGTTTTTATCTCGGAGAGCTGGATCTGATAACTGCATAGATATCAAGCCGTTGAAATTCCTGAAGTTTTTAACATAATATTACTTACCTTTACGTATTTTATCACCAAAAAAATGTGTTTTTGTAATTTTTGAAGCAACTGTAAATCTATTAAAATCAACGATTTGAAAGGAGCGTGGCCTAATCGTGACGTGGATTTGGGAATCAGTGCTGAGCTTTGTAATGGATAACCGGACGCGTAGCCACTGCGTAATTTTAAAAGTCGGACGGTTTGCAATAGTAAGTTTGTTCGCGAACGTAGGTGGCGCCGCTGTCGCAAGCGTAGGTGGCGCCGCAGTTGCAAGCGTAGGTGGCGCCCGGCGGTGGTAACGGCGACACGTTTCTCGCGGCAGGTACTACTACATGTGGAAGACGACAGATCGCTACGTTCAACAGAAACGCGTCAAGGCCGTCGAGGCGGAGAACAAGCTGAAACAAGTGTACATCCCTAACTACAACAAGCCGAACCCGGCGGCCATCAGCGCGGTGAGTCGTCGCCGTGGCAACGACAGCGGCCGTTGTTTTCGTGACAGAGTTTTCAGTGTTGCTTTTTGCTTGAACACCAAATTATATTGAAATTTGCACAAGGGAGAGATAGTGATTCGCTAGGGGACGGCTCTGATTGGCTAATTTTGTCTCTTATTTATTATATTTTTTATCATTTTTGGTTAATTTTGTTTTATTTTAGAATTAGGGATAGGATTAGGATTAGGGTTAGGGTTAACTGATTTCTCAGGGTTCGTAGCGGGTCTTCTAAAGTCTTATAAGTACTTATTTTGCCAAAAATAAAATAAGGGCCCTTTTTTGGTGAAATCTTAGAAAAGTACTTAATAGTCCTTATTTTTTGCAACCTACAATATTTTATATAAATTGTTTTATA